GGGCGGGAGGGAAGCGCAAGGAAGGCGGGGAGGCGACGACCCTCCTCTGGAGAGGCGATTGGGTTTTTGCAAAGGCGGAGCTTCAGGATAGGAAAGTTTGAGAGTCTCCTATTGGTCTATTGTCCATCACTCATAGTACACGATCCAATCATAGCACTATTTCTGTACATCGCTCCACCCCCGTCCCCTTTCCACTTTCTTGATTGAACACTCCCCTTTTCTTCCGCATTCCCCCTCTCTCAACGTGATTGGACCACGGGATGGCCAAGGGCGTCTTCTGCATTGATTGGCAGGCTTCCGGGCCAATTGAGAAGTCCCAATATCCTCCGGCCCATGGAGTGAAGGCGTGGGATTTCCGGTAGAGTCTGTCACCGGCATCCTCTCGGCTGGTAGGCATCACGTGACAGCCTCCTAGTCATCTTTACTTTCAAGTAAGCCCATGCATTTCAATAGGCCTTGCAAATTTAGTGCATTGCAGCAGATTTTTTGGGTTGGGAGTAATAGCTGCTGCTTGTGCAGAGCCTATAAATGGGTCGGTGCAGGAACCCTAGAAAGTATTTTTTTTTCCTCTTTAATTGCCGTGCAATTTGGGGTGGGGGCAGCGGGATGCCAAGTCGGCCGCCTGGACCTAAGGCCGGTGCAAATTGCACCGTGCAATTAGCTCTGAGGGCGCCACGTTCAAGGGCTGCTTTTAAAAACTGGGTTAAAAATCGTCGGTGTTTCCAAAACGAGGATACCTGCTTGCTTATAGGTGGATCCGGCCGTTCAGACATTTAACTAATAACAAAATATAACTTCTGCGGTCGAACCCTCCCGGTTCTGCTGCTACTTTCGCTTTCATTTGTGCGCCTCCTCCTAGAGCAGGTGTCCCCAACGTGGTGCCCGTGGGCGTCACGGCACCTGCAAACAGTTTACCTGGTGCCCACCAAGTGTTTTTAGAAAAAGGGCAGGTCCAGCAGAGCTTTCCGTTGGCCACTGGAGGTCCGACAGACCCTGGCAGATCAATAATGGCCCCGGTCACATGGAGCATTTGCCGCGCTAAAGATACGGATGATAGGCGGATTTTCCGGGCGCGATCATACCGCAACATCTGGGAAGCGTAGTGCTCCCATGGCGTCCCGCCAAAGATGCGGACTAAAAAACGAGGTACTGGTTTCCGGACACAGCGGGGCAAGGGCGAGCGTCTGATCATGTTTCCAGTGGACTCCCGTGACATCCGGCCCCCACTGATGTTCCTTCGCAAACAAGGGTTTCCCCCCCCAAGTCTCCGCAGGATGCGCAAAAGCGCCCAACGGCGCATGCGCACAAACTACTGTAAAACGAACACCTGTTTGCCATGGGAGTGGCGCCTAGCGATTGCTGCTGTGATCACGCTGCTTCTTTGCCGCACTGCTGGATAGCCGTGTGATCGGCACCTCACCCCCTAAGCACGGGACCTCGACGGGATGTGTGATCGGGCGGCCGCATGTTATTTTGCTCCGGGGCAAACAGCCACGCTTCCCCCCCCCCCTGCTTTTTCCGGCCCGTGTGACCGGGACCTCAGTTGGGTAACTGTGTTGATCTGGACAAAGTTTGAGTCCAGTGGCATCTTCTTGAAAAAGAGCAGTTTCTGTCAGAGCTCTCTCAGCTCTACCTACCTCACAGGCAATGCGCCCTCTAAGCTGTGGAGTCCTGTGAGCAAAAATTCTACTTTGTGAGCTACTGGCATTAAAGTTGTGAGCGAGCGATTTGGCTACTGCAGAAATCAGTTTGCTTCTTCTTGAGCTAAGACAAAAGTGTGTGAGCCGGAGGCTACAAAACTGTGAGCTAGCTCACACTAACTCAGCTTAGGGGGAACACTGCTCACAGGGTGTCTGTTGTGGGGAGGGGAAGGGAAAAGAGTTTGTAAGCCGCTTTGAGACTCCTTTGGGTAGTGAAGGGCGGGGTATAAATCCAATCTCTTCTCCTCTTCTTCTCTTTTTCAAG